TGACATATACAAAAAGTGCAAATCTATTCTGTATACATCATTGAGGTGGTTTTTTCTCAGAAACACACTATGAATCCTTTAAAAGCAATAATTTCACATTACTACTGGGTTTTTCTGTCACAAGAATGTATTCTTACTTTGAAAAACTTAAAAGAATTTATAATAGACTAAGTGTTCACATTCACAATACTTAAGATCAAGAGTGTACAGATTTCAAGGTGGGGGCATTTTCTGTGTGTTTTGGGATTTGGACTGTCCTCATACACATTAGTGACTGAACATCCTGCCTTAAAATTTTTCAGTTTTCTATTTCATATTATTTGTTTAGAATATAATCTGAATTTTAAAAACAGCATTGTAACTGGGCTATCATGACTAATAGCTGTAATCTTAGGTATTCAGAATGCTGAGATATGAGGAAAGTTAGTATTAGCCCAACCTTTAGTCCTCAGCTCCACCCAGACCTGAGTTCCTCCCAGACGTAGAGTTCCTTCCACACAGCTTGCCACTCCCTCTTTCATCTCAGACTCACCTGAGCATGTAATTAACTCACTTCCTGTACCCCAGATCCTGTTAAAACCTAAAGAGGGACAAAAGCTTGTGCTTCCTCTCCTGGGAAATATGGTCCCTCTAATAAACCTTATAATAATCTTTCTCCTGTGCCTGCTTGTGGTCCCCTGGGATGGACATGAAGGAACCCTACAAGGATCACAGATTGAAGACAGGGGGATATGGAAGTCTGAGAGACTTATGTCCAATACACTACCAAAGTAGTGGGAAGTGCAAATGCGAATTAAGTGGCAGAACATTATCAAAGAACCAAATAATTTTAAGGTCAGTTTCTAAGCCTTGAGTTCAAGAATCAGGACAGAGACACACATAAAAGGGCATTGTATTGTATACAAATTTTAACATTTTTAACAATTGTTATATTTAACAATAGTCATATTTTAACAATTGCTTTTGGTGTACATGTATAGGAAATCTCTCTCATTTTTTTTGTCGGTGTGGGGCCTAAACTCTGAGCCTGGGCACTGTCCCTCTGACCTTCAGCTCAAAGCTAGCACTCTACTAGTTGAGCCACAGTACACTGCAGGCTTTTTCTGGCTTTTTTGTTCTGAGGAATCAAACCAAGGGCTTCATTCAAGCAAGTCAAGCACTCTACCACTGAACCACCTGCCCAGCCAGTCTCTCTCATTTTAAGTGATGCAAAATAGGCTAAATATATTAGTGGAGAAATTATAACATGTCAGAACAGACACATCAGTTGGAGTATATCTGTGCCAGCAGCATTTTGAAAGTTTCAAAAGCCATAGTAAGTGCAGAGGGTGAAAAGAGGATCACTATGTTTATATAAGACATTTTCAAGGAATGTTTACCATTCATTGGCTTCAATTCACAAAAAGCTAGTTTATAAAGTCACATGGCTGAGTACCAGAATCTCTAGGTTTAGGAGTATAACCCACAACTCCTGACTCTCCTTGTCTAGTAAATCAGAGGTTTGTGAACCCCTTTCTGGCACCTGGAGGAGCAAGTGCTAATGGCAGAACTAACCTATAAGCCCATAAAATATCATCCACCACAGACTGGGGAAAGATGGGAAGGGCAGACTCTGGCTAGGAGCCTCAGATTGCTTTATGTTTCAGCTCCCAAGTTCCCCTGAAAAAGAGAATCTGGGCTTCTACCTCTTGGCTCTGACTAGGGAGTGCAAAGCTGCACTTCAGAGCACTTCCAGCAGCAAGGGAAAAGCAAAGTAACCCGAATTTGCAAACTAAAAACACAAACAGTGGACAAGGAGGAACTGGCGCCTCTTCCTCCCTCCACACCCCATCCCCTACAACACCCCCAAACTTTCAAAGGATCTATTCCCCAATAGAAACTACAATTCCCAGAATGCAATGCACAATTCTCCTAGAGGAAGTGGGCTTGTTACAGGGTTTTGACTGGCACAAGGCACTTGGTCCTAAGTGTGCAAGGATGCATGGGGACCTTTCTCTCTCTTCTGCGGGAACTTAGGTGAGTTTCTTCTTGAAAATTCAGTTAACCAACATAAATATTGTGAGACCAATTAAAAACACAAATGTATTAAGAGCATTGCATAATTTGGCATTTTAATTCTTAGTTCTTTTAACATAATTGAGGTTATGAGTCTACTTAGTTTTTATTTTTGTTTTTTGTTCAAAAAGTACGTTCTGCTGAATGTAAATTATGTCTCTGTTTTTCCTTAAAGTTTTGAATATCTCCCCTCTCACTTTTCAAAGTTTTTTGCAGCTGGGTGCCAATGGCTCATGCCTGTAATCCTATGTACTCAGGAAGCTGAGATATGACGATCCAAATTCAAAGCCAGCCTGGGCAGGAAAGTCCATAAGTCTTATCTCCAACTAACTACCAAAAAATGGAAGTGGCCTTGTGGCTCAAGTGGTAGAGAGCTCACTTTGAACTGAAAAACGCAGGGGCAGTATTCAGGCTGGGATCAAGCCACAAGATCTACCAAAAAAAAAACAACTACTGGCAAACAGTAAACTGATTGATTCTGGCATCATCTTCCCCTGCTCTAATATTTGTAGTGGAATAAAATAACAGAATTTAAAGACAGATATACTTTATAATCTTTGGATTAAATTGATTTGTCAAATTCTACTCATTAATTTCCCCCAAACTCCCATATTCCATCTATGAAATTTTAAGGAGTTTTTGGTTATTTGTGTCTGAAATTTGCCTTTCCTTATAAAGAATATCCCTCATTTTGTTGTTGGTCCTGTGGCTTGAACTCAGAGCTTGGGCACTGTCTGTGAGCATTTGCTGTGATGTACTTGCTTTCTTTTATTAATTGCTTCAGGGACTAGTGAAAAGTTGGCTATTTTTCTCTTTCTCCCCTTTGTATCGTTTCATTCCCTCTTTCCTCCATATGTGTCTCAGTTGTTTCTTTTCTTCAAATGATCTATTTGGAACAAGATTTTCTTAGTGATCAGCTTTATGTTGCTGACATGGCTCTTAGGATTGACTTTTTTTTTACCCCGTAGTATAGGAAAATTATTGCCTAGAGAGTTCTACAGGATTCCAGAAACAAAGAAAATTAGAGAAACACAAACAGGCGTATGGGAAACCAGGGTTCCAAAGGCTCTCTGGCACTTTGTCCCTGGGCGCCAGAAAGCTCGCATAGTTCCTTGAGTACACACTGGGAAGATTACCATTGATAACATGCAAAATTGAAGTGTCTGTATTAATAGTACAATCAGAGCCACAACAGGTTGTGAGGAAAACATGTTTCCTTATTCTTCTGAAAGAGTAGACTGTTGCCCAGAGAAAATGCAGACATGGAGTTCACCTTACCTAGCCTTCAAGGTCCACAGCACCTCAGTTTCAGATGCTATCTTTCCAATAGTAAGGAAAAGGCCTATACTCCAGTTTCTTAACCCTCTCCAGATTTCTCTTTTAACCCTTCTGCGGCCAGCTCTCAGTGCTCTCAGTGGTGTCAGGCTCCATTTCCAACCTCTCAAACCTTTTCCCCTTCTCCCAACTTCAGAGTTCCCTACAGTTCCTTCTACCAATTGATACACTACAGGAAAATCTGTTTTCTCCTGATTTTGTGTTGGTCTAACTTCATTTGATGTGGTATTTAATTTTGTTTTTCCATCCCACTACTGTTGAATATTTTAATTCACTGCCAGTATAAGATTGGAATTAGTCTTGAAAAAAAAATAATACAGTGATGAGATGTTCTCTATTAGAAATATCACTTGTGGCAAAATCTCACAGATGTTTGCTCACTAATTGATTTTGATCTCTGAGGTATTTTACTATTAACTAACACAAGTGAAAATATATCCTTAGAGATCTACTGGAGAAAGGACTCAGGAATATGTGACGCATTTGAGGATTTGGTCATATTTACGATTTTTGTCATCTTGAGTGTCCCTTGAGCCTCTGGATATTTTCCTTCACCTTCCATGAAGGCCTATTAAAATAAAAACCTTGTCAAGGAACATTTTTTTCCTTCCCACCTATATTTTGTATTGTAGAATGTAGGCAAAGTTCACAAAATTTTATGGTAGCAGTTCTTTTTTACATAGGAAGGAAATATCAGGGTATCTATGACCACATTTCAATATGTAGCATTTAAACCAAACATGGTAAACCACAGATATTTTTATGTGGGAACTCAATTAAATCTTATAAGGGCCCAATCAATCATTGGTTACTTTCTGGAGTACTGTTACTGTTTTTTGAACATTCATGTGGACACTGCTTTTCATAGATCTAGCAATGCTCTATGTTCTGTATTCCATGTGATATTCTGAATGTGTGCTGCTTGCTTTTCAGAATACTTATTAATAGAAGGTCTAAATAGGATTTATGGTGAAGCAGTATGTGTAAATGAAGGAAAAATATTGGTTTAATTCATTTTTACCCCGTTATGTACTGAAATTTTATCAAAAATGATAATATAACTTTTTCAGACACCTCCTTAGACTTAATGTTATCATGTCAGATTATTCTCTCCTTAGAGTTTTTATCTTGTCTCTATGACTAGCAGCACAAATGTGATTGCATGCATTATGGAAACTGTAAGTTTATATTGGTCTTAGGGCTTGAATTCTGGGTCTGTTTATTTTCCCTCAGCTCTTCAGGTCAAGGTGAGTGCTATCACTTGAGTGACAGTGCTACTTTCATTTTCTGGTGGTTTATTGGAGATAAGTGTCTCATGGACTTTCCTGCCTGGGCTGGCATTGAACCTTGATCCTCAGACCTCAGCCTCCTGAATAGCTAGGATTACAGGTATAAGCCACCAGTGCCCTGCAAATCTGTGTATTTTAATGACCAGGTTTATGTATTGTCAAATATTTCTAGTTTGGTATTTAATTCTCCCAGTGAATAGATAACAAAGCTAACTGCAAGCATTTTATGTAAGACAAAAGCATACATGCAGCATAATGAAATTCCAGGTTGGAATTCTCATAACCCAGCTCTAATTTCTTCATGGGAATGTGCCATTACAGAAGCTGATTTCATTTGATGATGTGGCTGTGGACTTCACCTGGAAGGAGTGGCAGCATCTGGATCCTGGTCAGAGGACCCTTCATAGAGATGTAATGCTGGAGACCTATAGCAACCTCATGTCCTTGGGTGAGCAAAGGCTATTTTTACATGGAAGATCAAGTGCTTTTATTTTAGTAGACATTAGACTATGTTATTTAGGGAGAAGATTCCAGCCCATTCCCAGGTAAAAAACTGCTAGTATAAAAGCCAATCAAATTTGAGTCTGAGAACTTGGTGCCCTTTGTCATTCACACTAGTGCTTGAGCCACCATTCTATTTTCACTTTTGTTTTGGGGTATATTCTGTGTTTCCGTGCCCAGGTTGGTTTCAAGCCTGCCTCTTCTGATCTCATCTCCTAAATGTAGTATTACAGGTGTAAGCATTTCGACCATTACATTTTGTAAAAAAAAAAATAAAAAAAGATTAGAGGCCATGGGAAGTGTCATTTTTTTTCTAAGGGAAACTTCAACTTCATCATATGTAACACAAGAGCTAATTTTATTCTCGTTTTTTAAGAAGGCAAATCAGTAGTTGGACAAAAGTTCTAAGCTATGATCCACTAATAGGAGACTGACTTGCCAGGCTTGGGTAATTATTATAGGTGGATGTACAGTCTAGAACATACATTACTACTGACAGTATGCTCTGGAAATCAGTAGGTGAAAGTGTGTATTTGTAAACCAAACCTGCTACAGGGTTTAGTGCTTCAAGCTACAAATCCTAGATACTCCAGAGGCTGACATCTGAAGGTTTCAGTTTGAAACCAGCAGCTGTAAAAAATTTACCATGAGACTCTTATCTCCAATTAACCATTCAAAAACTAGAAATGTAGTGAAGATTCAAACTAGCAGAATGCTATCTTTTAGCAAAAGAGCTGAGTTCAAGCCACACAGTTGGCAAAATAAACCCATAGCTGGATGCTACTCCACAATGGAGCAGTTAAGAATTGAGAAACCATGGGCTTGGAAGTTGACTCAGTGGTAGAGGAATTGCCTTCCCTGTATGAGGCCCTGTGTTCGATTCCTCAGCAGCACATAAGCAGAAAATAAAAGCCAGAATTGGCATTGTGGCTCATGTGATACAGTGTTAGCCTTGAGCTGAAGATCTGCTGGACAGTGCCCAGGACCAGAGTTCAGGTCCCACAACCAGACTGTCCCCACAAAAACAATTGAGGAACCACATTTAGGAGCAACCTTGTGAACAGGATGTCTGTGACCTTACGTTAATGATGACCCAGCCAAGACAAATTGTTCTCCACTATTTCTTATTCACAGGGCACTGTGTACCTAAACCAGAATTGATTGTGAGGCTGGAACAAGGTTCAGAACCATGGATAAGAGAAGCCTCAGACGAGAATTTCACAAGTGAGTTAAAGCATCTACAATGCTAATGATGGGTCCAGAGCCAAGTTGATCTGTTTATCTTCAGCTGTACAGAATGATAGTATTCTTAGTGCCCCTGAGTCATGTATGGCAGAGAACTAGGTGATCCTTTGTCTCAAGGAATTGTCAATTCAGAATTCACTGGGGACAAACTGAATTTGGTGTGCCAGTGTAATTAATATTATCAACTCTCTTTGTCTGTAGAGAAGTCATTGTTTAAGAGAAAAAGACAATAGGACATGTACAAAAGGAGATCTCATTTTCTTTTAAACTAGTATTATGCAGGTAGGAGGAAAATAGGAGAATGGTAGTGCTGCTATTCTCTATCAGGACAATAGCTTATGAGTTGTGCTGGGCATAGAGCATTAAGAGTACATAGATGAATAATTTGAGTAAATATTTCCTAGAAAAAAATAGAAAAATCTGAAATACAGAAAAACATTATTTTGCATTGTAAAATGTCAATATTACATTCATAGTTAGTATGTTGCAGAGAAAAGTTTATTTTCTGCCTAAAACAATGCTTTGATATTTGAAAATCTTGTAACACTTAAAATGTGAGAAAATACCTTTACAGTAAGGAATTTATGTATCTCATTTATGTTTTTGTCTATTTTTCTGTTATGCATTTTAGATGTTCCACAAATGGAAGATGTGATTAACACCTGCCAGGAAAGTCACAATAAATATCTCTCTGAAGTAGCAGTCATGAATAGTAACCCAGGGGAGGAAAAAGTGAGACTTATAAAAAGTTTTAATTTGAGCTCAAAACAGAAGTCAGAACTGATTAAGTATAATGGGAACTCCTTAGGAATGAGGACAGAAAAGGTCACTGGGAGTCAGAACATGAGTGTTTTCAGTGAAACTGGTAAGGTGTATGCTGTATATAGTCCTCATTTCTCTTCTGTAGTTGAAGAATATAAACAATGTAAAAGGCCTTTCACCGAGAAGACACACCCTATTGTCCCTCAGAGAACATACACAGGAGAGAAACCATACGAAAGTAAAATGTGTGGAAAGATGTTCACCAGTAAGGCATATCTTACTGTCCACCAGAGAAGACACAAAAATGAGAATCTTTTTGAATGTAACATGTGTGAAATGTCTTTTACCTCGAAGTCAAACCTAACTCTCCACCAGAGAACGCACACAAGAAAGAAACCTTATGAATGTAACATTTGTGGAAAGTCTTTCACCTGGAAGTCAAACCTCACTATCCACCAGAGAACACACAGAGAAGAGAAAACTTATGAATGTAACATGTGTGGAAAGTCTTTCGCCAAAAAGGCATGCCTTACTATCCACCAGAGAACACATACTAGAGAGAAACCTTTTGAATGTAACATGTGTGGTAAGTCTATCACCCAGAAATCAAAGCTTACTGTTCACCAGAGAACACACACAAAAGAAAAACCTTTTGAATGTAACATGTGTGTTAAGTCTTTCACCCAGAAGTCAGCTCTCACTGTCCATCAGAGAAAACACACAGGAAAGAAACCTTATGAATGTAACATGAGTGGAAAGTCTTTCATCCGGAAGTCAGGGCTTACTGTCCACCAGAGAAGACACACAGGTGAGAAACCTTTTGAATGTAACATGTGTAAAATGTCTTTTGCGTGGAAATCAAGCCTTACTGTCCACCAGAGAAGACACACAGGAAAGAAACCATATGAATGTAACATGTGTGGAAAGTGTTTCACCAAGAACTCAAACCTTACTGTCCACCAGAGAACACACACAGGAGAGAAACCTTATGAATGTAATATGTGTGGAAATTCTTTCACCAAGAAGTCAAACCTTACTGTCCACCAGAGAACACACACTGGAAAGAAACCTTATGAATGTAACGTGTGTGGAAAGTCTTTCACCCAGAAGGAACACCTTTCTGTCCACCAGAGAACACACACTGGAAAGAAACCTTATGAATGTAACGTGTGTGGAAAGTCTTTCACCCAGAAGGCACACCTTACTGTCCACCAGATAATACACACAGGAAAGAAACCTTATGAATGTAACATGTGTGAAAGGTCTTTTACCTGGAAGTCAAACCTTACTGTCCACCAGAGAACACACACAGGAAAGGAACCTTATGAATGTAACGTGTGTGGAAAGTCTTTCACCCAGAAGCTACACTTTACTGTCCACCAGAGAAAACACACGAGAGAAACCTTATGAATATAATGTAACATGTGTGGAAAGTCTTTCACCAAGAAGTCAAACCTTACTGTCCAACAGAGAACACACACAGGAAAGAAACCTTATGTATGTAACGTGTGTGGAAAGTCTTTCACCCAGAAGGTACACATTACTGTCCATTAGACAACACATACAGGAGAGAAACCTTATGAATGTAACTTGTGTGGAAAGTCTTTCACCAAGAAGTCATACCTTACAGTCCATCAGAAAACACACACAGGAAAGAAACCTTATGAATGTCATATGTGTGGAAATTATTTCAGCCAAGAGCTACAAGTTACTGTCCACCAGGGAGCACACAGAGGAGAGAAATTTTTTGAATGTAAGCTTGTGGAAAGTCTTTCACCCAAAACATACACCTTTCTATCCGTAAAACACCCACCAGAGAGAAATGTATGTAGCAGGCATGGAAATTCTTTCACCTGGAAGGCACAACTTAACATCCATCACAGAACACAAGGAGAGAAAACTTATGAATGCAACCAGTGTGGAAAGACCTGGAGGTCACAGCTTAACACACATAAGTTGATTCACACAAATGAAATAACTTAGGATTGTACCAAATGGGAAAGTCTTTGATCTGTAAGAAAATTAAAATTGCAATACAGAACCAATACAGGATAGAGACCTTATGATATAGCAGATGTGGAGTCCTCCAACTACAAGACACAGCTCAGGGTTCATCACAGAACACACAAAACATACACACACACACACACACACACACTCACACAGAAAGAGGAGAGAAATCCTATGTAGGAAAAATAAATGGAAAAGTTTTCAAGAAAAAGTCCTAACTCAGTTTGCACCAGAGAACAGACATGGGTGAGAAAATACAAATGTAACAATTTTGGAAAGTCCTTTACCAAGTATTCATGGATCCAAGTTCATAGGACACACAGCAGAGTAATCTTAAGAATATTACAAATGTGGAAATCCTTTGATCAGAAAGGAACACCTCATGTTCATCAGAGAACTGATTCACATAGGAGAAAAGAAAGTAGTTCATAGAACATACGTGAAATGACTTTCAATTTGAAGTGAGTCCTCAGCATATGTGAGTGCATAGACAGGAAAGAAATTATGAGTATAGAAAACATTTTGCCAGAAGTCCCATCTGTACAGGTATCAGAGACCTGGACACATGACAGAATCTCTGTAAATATAAACATGAGAGGAAGCCTTTCAACCAGAAGCCAACCTTCAGCAAGTATTAGAACATTCACCCAGGAAAGAAACCCATTGTAGGAAAATCTTTGTCAGAAAACCTGTATAAATTATACAGAGAAATCCTTCATGGCAGAGATAAGCTAGGTGTGATGGGAAATCATTCTTCACTCTTCAGCTCTCTTTGAGCCAACATTTCTCATATTTTCATCGTGTTGAGTGGGGATGGTGTCATTCAATATTATCCAAACATGTGGAAACAACCAGTTATAACAAGTAATTCTGAGATTGAAGTTATTAACTTGTGTCTTTTATACTAAGGAATGGTGTGGTAGAGTAATTTGATAAACTCTTTTTAGAAATATGAGGTCTGTCCCTGTGGGACTGATCAGATCATCTCTCACATGGTTAGGGTAAGAATGATTGAGTGATGACTGTTATGATAGGAGGAAGAACATGAGAACAACGTTTTTTCTATTGCTCCCTTAAATCCCCCTCTGTATGTGTGATCCATGCATTACAGTAAAAATGACTTACTTATTCCAGTTCAGTGTTTGAATGCAAGATATTAGTCCTTATTGCAGTACATAGATAGTAGTAAAGTCTTTCTCGGAGCGGTAACAATGCTCAATAGGAAATGTATTCATGACCTAATTCATGTAATTGTATAACCAATTTGTGCAGTATCTTTACAATAAAATATATATTATAAAAATATGGTGGATTTATAAAGACAAAAGTCTCAGCATATTGCCTTGGGGGGAAAACCTCAAAATATCTTCAGTGCTTGCTGTTTTCTTTAATTAATCACTGATGATGAGCAACTTGTGATTGATTCAATCTTAGCCCATTTAGTTGTTCTGCTGAGTGAGCTATAATAAAACACCAGTGTGGACGATGAGTCGCACCTGTGTTATCTCATAGAGGGCCAATGTAGATATGACATTAGGGGAAATAATCAAGCACACAAAGATATTAATCTCTCACAAAAATTGAAATAAACAAAAAAATACTATCTGCCACTTGAGCTACAGCATTACTTCTAGGCCTTAGAGGAAGAAAAGAAGGAAGGAGGGAAGTGAGAAAGGTAAAGAGGAAGGGAAGGAATGAGGAAGAAGGAAGAAATAAACTATTCAAAAGAAGAATGTTTAATTTTTGGTGAATGTGAGTATTATTCTTTCAGACGTGGGGCTCAAGAAAAATGGCTTTTACAAAAAGCAAATTCTTGAACTGTTTACAAAATGAAAAAGAGGATGTAACAATTAATAAATTGATTTAATATTCAGTAATATTAATTAAGGAGGTCAGGTGTGGCTAGTGCCCTATTGTCCACATGGTGGATGGTGGAGTCTGGCATCTTGTCTTCATGCAGGGAGAAGGAAATTCCCCACCCATCACTTGCCTCCCAAATGATGGGTGTGGCTGGATCCCTGGAAGCAGGCATGGACATTTGGCTGATATGTTACTCAATCTGTTAGTTCAGTTTGTGGGACTGGGAATTTCCTGTAGCCCTGCCTCCTGCTTAGGTCCTATTTAGGCTGCACCAGCAGTGGCACCAGATGCCATGCCACATGTCTCTGTGATCATGTCCTGTGTCCTGTCTCCTGGCTTGTCTCTGGTCATCATAGTGTCCCAATTCATCACTCTCTTGGTGCTGATTGATTTCTTGGTGTAGTTTTTAATCATTTTTTTCCTTTCTGTCCTGTTTCTAACTTGTCTAAGTGTATTTGTCACTGCAAGTCTTTGTTACAACAGGCTGCTTGCAGACTGCTAGCTGTGTAATAGACTCCAGTATTCCATCTTCCATAATGTGGCTTCCAACAAATATACTGTCTTCTTTTACAGAAACACAAAGGTTGACCAAACATTATAATTTCTAGAGCCAAGATAGATGCCATTGTATAGTTATGTAATTAAAGATATCTTGGAGGCATTTAGAAAAATGTCTGTTACATCAGAAAGTGCTTAATTAGTAAACCAAGACCAAGACTCCAGATCCTATATAAGCCAATCATTCTAGATATGTCCAGAGCTGTTTGGTTACATGAAGAGCTTTACTTTCACACATTCATGAAGGAATGTTTTTGTTTCAATATTAGGTGTTGAACTCAGGAACTGAGTTGAAGCCAGCCGGAGCTGGCTTCAGGATGAGATTCTCTCATCTTGGCCTCTATAAAAGCTAGGAATCAAAGCATGAGCCCTGTGGGCTGTTCTGAAGAAATCTACCTCTGGGAACAGGAAGTTTCCTTCAGTGCTTCAGCTCAGGCTTCCTGTGGCTTCAAAATTTCAGTATTTATTTCAATTGTTCAAAAATAAAAATCCTCTTTATGGTATTTTCACAATAAGAAAAGAATCCTTAAATCCTGTCTATGATTCCATTTATAAGATAAGGACAGTGGACTTCACATTGCAAGATTTAGCTAGTTGCTCCCTTAACCTCTTCCCTCACACTATTCACCCTTCTGCTTTTTTTTGGGGAGGGGGGGAGGTCCAGTCTTGTGGCCTGACCTCTGGGCATGGGTGCTGTCCCTCAGCTCTTCAGCTCAAGTCTAGCACTCTACCACTTGAGCCACAGGGCCACTTCCAGCTTTTTTTTCTTTTCATTTTTGTGGTGCTGGGGAATTGATCCCAGGACCTCATGCATGCAAGGCAAGTGCTCTAACAGTGAACTAACTTCCCAGCCCAACACTCTACTTATCTACAGAGGCCTAGTAAAAAAAAAAATAGGGGGATTGGGAGGCACCTGTGTGTGCCGTTGGCCTTCCTACTTGTACCACACACACACACACACACACACACACATACACACCATCCATTTGGAAATCGCTCATTCTCTCATTTTTACATACTATGCTTTCTGAGAAGGGATGGTTCACAGACATGAGTCCTACCTAGGCCTGTTATATAGCTCAAATTATGAACCAACATACCACATTCATTTAAAGTATGCCTGATGATAACATTTTATTAATGTTTTGTATTATTTTTGTTATTATCATTTGGCCAACACTTTGTTTGAACTCAGAATTTAAGGGACTTAATACTCACTGAATGGGTAAAATACGCTTTCCTTCTTTTAATTTAAGACCAGCAATTAAAAATGAGCATTATACTCCCTCATGTGTGGAATCCTAGCTACTCAGGAAGCTGAAATTAGATAGTATTAGTAGGCTATCCCTTGCAAAATCTTCATGAAAATTGTATCTTAGCCAATAAAAGCATGGCTCTGTTCATGTGTCCCTACCTTTGTTTTACTACCTATGAAAGGTAATTATAAAATTAGTGTGTCGAAAGGACCAGGCAGAGAAGCAAGACCCTAAGGTGAAAAATCAGTGAAACAAAAGGGCATCTGGTATAAAAGGTAAAGGAAGCTTCACAAATTTTTGCCTCTGAATTCAACCTGAGGACCAATAATATGATGTGTGTAAGCAATACATTCTTCCAAATATATAGTGGAAGAATTTGGAAATGGTTTACAGAATGATAAGTCAACAGTCCTTTACCAAGTGATTGCAAAAGGAACTGCATCCTGTAATGTGGACACCATGAGTCCTGCTTGTATCAAATAATTAAGATCTCTTGATCTAACAGGGCACTGGTGCTTCACATCAGAATTTTTACTTGCTCAAGAGTATGAGGTTTGAAGATCACAATTGAAAGGCAAACTATTTAGGATTTGCTGTGACAGTGTTATGGCCAATTATCATCAAATTTCCTACAAGTAGTGCTGTGAATCAAGTTGATAGACTGTCAACAATTTTGGCCCTTTATTACCGAAGCCCAGGGACAGTACCCAGGCCAGTACCGAAGCCCAGGACTGTACCAGTACTCAGGGAGAGCCTGGTATATTCCCTATGCTTTTCACTGAAGGCTGGCATGCTACCACTTCCAGCCAGAATGTCACTTCTAGTTTTCTGGCATTTAATTGGTGATAAGTCACAATGAATTTTCTGCTGATGTGGTGCTGAGGAATGGAACCCAGTGCCTCATGTATGCAAGGCAAGCCCTCTACCATTGAGCCACACTCGCAGTCCTGTCTCCTTTCTTAAAACAGTGTGATGGGGCTGGCAATGTGGGTTAGTGATAAAGTGCTTGCCTAGCATGCATGTAGCACAGCTTTTGATATCTCAGTACCTAATAAACAACAACAGCCCCCAAATACCTCTAGAAGCACTGGTGTTGTAGCAGAAATGGTAGAGTGGTAGCCTTCATTATAATGAATTTCAGGAACAGTTTTCAAGCCCTGAGTTCTAGCCCCAGGAATGTCAAACAAGAACAACAAAAACAAGATGAAATGATCAAATGAAAACAAAAAAAACCAAAGTCAGCAAATTTCATTGATAAACACAACACACAAACACACACATAGACACACATACACAAAT